GAATGCTTGTGCTTAGCTAGTGTTCTTTTCATACAGTCCAAGTCTTTAGCATAGTGAATGGTGCCACTGTTTGTTAGTGTAGGTCTTCCTCCTCAATTGTTTTAGTTAATGTAATCCACAGAAGTTGAAGAATTCCTAACAGGTGTGCCTAAAGGTTTATCTCCTAGGTGATTCCAGATCCTATCAATTAGACAATTAACACTAACCACTCCAAATTCTTCATATGTACTTCCTGGTTAATTTCCTCAGCACTGATCCAATTAGGCATATACTTGTCAGGATTATTAACAAGAGATTTTGTTGGCAGATATTACAGACAACAAACTTCTCAAGATGAATCTATAATAGATGTTACCAACCTGACAATGAAATCAAATAAAATCTTCCAAATTAAATTGTGGGGATCACACCATTTCCTATATGTGACAATGGCAAAGAAGCAAATGAATACCAGATGTCAAAGTCCATAAAACATAAAATGAATAAAGCAAACTGAAGAGTATAAAAGAAATTCTGTGGATTTTTAGAAACAAATGAAGCTCACGGAAAGAGACAGTCAACAAGGATGTGCAGAACCATGTCTAGGAATGTTATCGGCAAAGAAGGGGAACCAAACTGTAATCATGGTTTTACAAATAGGAAAATTTTGATTAGTTGTATCATCATAAAGAAATTGGGAGGAAAAGATTATGCTATAATTTCTCAGGTTATAGGATAAAATCTTCAGTACTCATGTCTAACACACAAATCCTAATATGCTCAAAGTATATATTTTATTTGTTAGTCATTATTTTTAATGAATAAAAACACCTGTAATTTTTATTGTCTTTGCATATGTAGAATTGAATAGGAGTTTTTGTCTTTCACATCTACAAGAGAGCTGAGAAGAATGGAAAGAAAAAGCTCATATTACAAACAACTGTTCCAGTGAAAAGTCAGTCTTACCTAAAACTACATTGGTCTTAACAACTGTCAAAAAAAAATGCCAACCACAGCTTTAAAAATAGCTTTATGGTATTAATTGAAGCCTCCCACCAAGGAAAACTTGCTAGTTTTCACAACTAACTTTTATAGATTTTTCTTCATTAATAAAGTTCCCAACCTTATCAACCTTTTCTGTGCTTGTAGAGCAGCATTTTTGCTTTTACTCTGGCTTTTTGGGGGTAGGGGCTGCCATCTAGCTCCCAAATAAATCACACACAGAGGCTTATTCTTAGTTATGAATGCCCAGTCTTAGCTTGGCTTGTGTCTTGCTAGCTCTTCTTTAATTATCCTTATCCCATCTATCTTTGGCCCCAAGGCTTTTCTCTTCCTCTATTCCTGTGTACTTTTTCTTTCCTTCTTACTCAGTGTCTGGCTATGTAGCTGTGTGGCTGGCGCCTGAAGTCCACCTCCTTCCTTTCAAATTTCCCAATCCTCAGATCCCTTTCTCCCAGATTTCTCCTCATATTTATCCATTCTGCCTGCCAGCCCTATCGATTCCTATCTCCTACTTCACTATTGGTAGTTCAGCTCTTTACCAGACCATCAGGTCAGGTGTTTTAGATAGGCAATGAAACACAGCTTCACAGAGTTAAATAAATGCAACATAAACAAAAATAGTAACCTTAAAATAGTATTATTCAAAAGTGTCCATATTTATAGAAGATGTCACCTGCAATTTACAAGTTTCAATGTACTCATGTCTTAGCCTTTGTTGTACACATGCAATTAACTATCATCAGGAAACTTTTTTCTCTCAAAGTTTGAACCAATACCAGTTATGCTGAACAGGATTTTTTTCTTGCCTCACAGGGATTGACACTTGCTAGTTACGGTGTATTCAGATACTTTGGGTTTAGGGAAGATTTGTGGTTTGCTTCCAATTAATAAGACATAGCAGTGGTGATAGGATGTATATATGATTGTGTTCAAGTCATTATGTGATTACCTTAATATCTTACTATGGTAGTCATTTATCAGATCCCTCAGATACTGAATTGGGTATGAAGAAGCAACCAGTCATGTTGGGAAACATAAAGTGAAAAACTGTTAAGGCCAATATATAGCAAATGGTCAACAGCACAGAAAGCACATGAAGCTATCCTACTGTTTGAAAGGATGCAAATGTAGAAGACAACCACATAAGTGAGGAAGTAGATCTTTACCGAGGGTAGTCTCCAGAGAAAGACTCTGTCCCGACTAGCAATGGTCACAATCTTGACTAAGTTTGCCTGATATCCTGGCAGAGATGCTATGAAAGCATGTAAAACATGTTGCTGTTCAGCATCTAGCCTCATGAGAATTTGCTACACAAAAAGAGACATTTATTATTGGTGTGTGAAGGTTTAAATCTACTTGTTTTTTATTTGTCCTACTTACACTATGCTTTATATTCTTCTGATATATTTATCTTATCTTCTTTATTGGCTCTTTCAACTATATTTTTCTCTTAACCTTAAGGTCTTCTTTAGAAATTGTATTTATGAACTTTTAACTTACCAAAGTCTATATTTAAGTTATTAACACTTCTATAAACGAGCAACAATCTTACAACAGTGCACACTTCTTTAACTTCCCTTTACACATCTTCCCTACCATTTGTGATTTTACTTTTAGATAAATTTCTCATTACTTTTGCTCATATAGTAATCTTATAAGGGGAAAAACATGTTTATTCAAGCAGTTGACATTTTGGTGCTTTGCACGGCTGTTTTTTGTTGTTGTTGTTGTTGTTGTTGATGTTGTTTTTGTTTTTGACTCTGGGCATTAGTTCTGACTAATGGAATTTTTTTTCTTTTACTTTTAAGCTTTGTTTTACACTGCAATTAAGTTTCTTGGAAACAGTTTGATACCTTTACTTCTTGAAGCTATGTTTCTCAAAACTAGATCAGCACTAAGACTTGAAGCAGTAATTCTAAACTACCACAGCTATTATTCCACACTGTGTGCTATTCTGTCTCCCCAACCCCAGTCAAGCACACATTTTTTACATTCTAGCAAATAAAACACAATCCTGCTAACTCTCAAGTAGGTTAAACTTTAGGCAAAGAAAGCCTCCTCATATATAAGCTAAAAAGCACAGCAGGCTCGTCCTAGATCCCCCACCTTATGGACATACTCAAAGTGATGGGACACAATCTAGAGAAGCCTTCTCACTTACTTATCTCTCAGTGATCACCAAACTCTGTTCCGTGATTCTGATTCTCCTTACCTGGAAATTAGGGTTTATGTTGTCTGTTGGTGATTTTAGGCAGGAGGGCAACATGGTCATTCTATTTTGTCTCCACAAATTGTCTTGAACATTTCTTATGCAAAAAAAGTCAACTCAGGTATATGAAGAGCACCAATAACAGAGGAAAGAGCTAAAGTCTTCTCAAGAACAGACTGAGACTCTAACATAGAAAAACAACATGCCCAATTTAACTTCAAACTCACTAGAGAATATGGACTGACAACATTTCTCCCGATTGCCTTCCTTCCTGTTTGATGGCTGTGACTTGTAAATGAATGTATACTTCTCTCAGTGCTGTAGATTTAAAAGCATATGTGTGTGGGAAGAGTGCAGGTAAATAAGTATACAGGTCTTCAGATGGAATGGAAAAACACCTCAATAGCTTTTTATCTCCATTTTGCTTTAGGTGAGATCCTGAAGCATAATTCAAAACCTAAAACCCCACTGCAACGACGTTTCCTTATGAGGATTTGAACATACCTGCTTTACAGGAAAGAAAAGTAAATTTGTAGATAAAGAGGAAGTGAAATAAAAATGGCCACACAATTCACATTTCTTCTATCAAAGGCAAGATTATGACACTTACCACCTTTGCTGTTACTTGTTTTGCTTGTTTGGTTTTGGTTTTTTGAGACTGAGTCTCTCTGTAGTCCTGCCTGTCACTACATAGACTAGGCTGGCCTTGAACTCAGAGATCTGCCTGCCTGCCTCCAGAGTGTTAGGATTAAAGACTTGCAATACCATGCTCAGCCCTATCCTTCTTCTTAAATGTAGGTGGGGCCTAAGTCAAGTTTGATAAACATAATGCAGAAATATCAAGTTGTATCTATATCTGGGCTCTGACTTGGAGACTGGCACATCCCACTTCTTAAAGATTTCCCGTGGAATAGTTTCTCAGGGAGAGTTTTAAGGAAGAAAAGAAATCCAACTATTCTGAAGGTATCATGTATAGAGAAAATGATACCAAAAGATCCCCAGTTGTTCCCCAGTCCAGACAATAGATATGTAAGTGACAAAACAATACAGAACATTTCAGAACTCTCATTTGCAGTACAAAGAACAGAAGTCCTCAACAAACAACTCATCTCCAGATGTTTGAGCCACTTTGGCCGAGGACCTAGACATCATAAGGAAAAGGCAAATCACTAAAAGTCGCAACCATAGGCACAAGATAAGTTATTATTTTAAGCCACTGAGGTTTAGCAAAATTGACTATGCATCAAGAAGTAACTGGAGCCAAATCAAAAAGAAGAGTTCATTTGGAATGCACATACTACAAATACAGTAGAATTTAAGGCAGGAGTATTCATATGTTTTGAACTATCAACATAACAGCACTATATTAACAAATGTTTTAACTCACTAATTATAAAAATGAAAGTTTTAGATTCATTTAAAACTTGAGACAAAGCTAATAGCTTGAAAACACAATTATACTGTTTATTATACATAATACACTATATATGTACATACATGTATACACACTTAGATGTATTAAGTACTGAAAATTAAAACCAGTAAGCTTTACCATTATTTGGAAAATTTAAAAGGAACAAAAACAGCAGTCTTTTAACATACAAGGAACATACACAAAAAAGTGACAGTGTGGCATTAAAATAAATGCAAAATGAGTAACTCTAGAGTTAACTTCATTCTTATTCCAGGCACTAACATTTTATAATAAAATATCACAGCTTGATTTTTTTGAAAACATGTTTTAAAAAGACTTACTAAAACACATATTTTATAAACACAAGGTTTTCTCAAAATCAGATGTTGAGACCAATAAAACTTAAGCACTTTTATTAGGAACATTTCCTGAATTTATATTATTTGACACTTGTGACAATATTAAAAACCCAATACAGTGATTTGGCTACAGAATTTAACTTTATACAAACCCCAAACAACTAAGAATTGTGCTGTTTCAGACAATTATTTTTGGATTACCAAAATTCAAATTATTTTAAGGTCCAGAAATAAAAACACATATTCATTTATGTATATTTCATTATCATTTAATTCTTTAATCATTTTCCTTAACAAAGATACTATACCCTACTATTAAAAAAAGGAAAAAGAACCCTTTAATAAAACTATGAAAATAGCCCTGTTAGTTCTGAGTACATCTAGTTTTCTTTAAAAGCATAAAAGAAGCTACCAGACTCTACCTGGAAGCAGACCCACATTCCACTGAAGTCTTGTTAAACCTCTGGAAACAAGTCCTTCTCTAGGCTAAGCAAACAACTGAAACAGCTAGAAGTTAGGTACAGAAAGAACATGAACCAATAATTCTGATACATCTGCTCTTATTCCACTATCACTCAAATCAAGTTCCCATGAGGAAGAAAACAGTTTGACCTAGCATGGATGTCAGTGACTAGAGTAGCCAGCTGCTGCTGCTTTCCCTAGAGACCAAGGCAAAGTTGCTTGTAAATATACATAAACTGAATGGGCTCAGCAGAGGAAACGACACATGCAGGGTACACTTATCAGCTTTTACTTTTGGTGACATCAAATGGTTTCCACCACTGAGCAAACTGCAATGTTTTCTTCCTCTGGTCCTCAAAGCTTTCTCTGATGCCCTTCTTCCATAGCCTGGGCTCTAGATCCAGCATACCACCAATGATTTCCTTTTAAAGAGTAAGAAAAATATGAAAGTATACATGTACAAACAATGCAATCAAGAATGGAACTACTCATTAATTCTGCTATTAAACATATTATTAAGTAGTTCTTTGTGACAATGTACACACATTACCTATTAGTTTCAAGCAAGAAACTTTATTTGCAATCTTAACTAGAAATTCTGTTATCCTGAGAGTACTTGTGGTGTCTCTTGGGAAGCAAATTGTCTGCTTGGTTACTCATTAGTATATCTATCTAATGGTAGCAAAAAGGATAAAGAAAGTGAAATTTAATTTCCTTTCTCATAAAGATACATAATATGTCAACAGAGAGCTCATAAGAGAATATGGAGATGTGGTGAGAACCAGAATAATAAGTCTCAGTTATATGGTTGGAAAAGGGAGGTGACAAAGACCAGAAGACATTTAAAACAAACAAATGAATATCCTACTTGTTGGATAAACCAGAAAAGGGAACTACCCATCATAAGAAAGTATTCTGCATATGATCTCAAGAGAGACAAGCCAAATTCAGATTTAGTAAAAAGTTTCCTGGCATCATGCCATTTAAACAGTACAGTCTGAGAAAGGGTAGTTTATGTGTCTGTCTGAAACTGTCTCTAGACAACTGCATGAATTATTTGAGAGTGCAAGATAGGTTCTCATTCTCTTACTGCAAAACAGACTATTTTCCATTGTTCTCTGAATAATTAATTTCTTGGGAAACAAGTCAAAAAAGGATAGAAAGTAGTTCATAACACATGGATGCTCTGATGCATGGGGAAATTGCCTGTTCAATCTTAAAACTACAATGCATGAGTAATATTTGAAGAGGAGACAATTCACCCAATGAAAATTGAAAAAGTAAAACAATGGGTGAATGGTGTCCTTTCCTCTAGAAAACAATCTGTAAAAATATGAATCGAGAGCTCTAAATCCAAAGCTAAAGAGCAGCTAAAAATCTCTAGGGAACAACAACAGAATTTTTCAGAGTAGTGCAAACAAGGTTGTTCTTTGTTGTTGTTTTGTTAATTCTGTAGAAAAAAATTCTGCAAACTTCTCAAACAAGGGATGGGCAAGAACTCAGTTGGTAGGTAGAGTAGTAGAATGTGTGCCTGACATGCATGAAGCTGTGGGTTTGATGCCTAAGACTATATATAAAAACAGGCATGATGGTACACTCCTGGAAAGTCACATCAGGAGGTGGAGGTAGGATGATCAGGATTGTAAGGACATATTCAGTTATGTGGTAAATTCAAGATCCAGTTGGGTCATGTGAGAATCTATAAGCAGTAATTCAAAAACGAATGTGATTTTAGAATCTGGGTACTCATTAAGGACAGCAGTTCTGGATCCAAACCTATGGAGCTCTGTTTCTTCTTGGCACATCCCAATTCACTGTAGAAGATTATCTTATGCAGATGAGAGTAGGGCAGAGGAGGAAGCAGGGTGGGCAATTATGAACTGTCAGAAGAGTTTATCAAGAACCCTCTCTTTAGACGCACAGACACATAGAAGTGATATGAGAAGGCCTGCACTAGGCCCAAATTCATTTTGCCAATTTGAAATGCCTCATTAATTCCATTTCAGTTCCTGACAAGACTTTAGATACATAGTTGAGTAGACCTCTAATTTAAGGAATATACTCTTAAAAAGGCATTTTTTTTCTTCCCTGAAAGAAACTACTGGCAGTCAAATGACTGGGATTTTCTTTCATATGTGCCCAGAACTTAACTGTGTGAAATGGGTCATTTATTTGTTCTGGATTATACTTTAAATGAAGAGCTGAAACTATTTATTCTCTCCAATAACCATAACTTAGGGTTCCTGGGTTTTCTCATATAGCACATAACCCCAGGCAAGTTACACAATCTCTCTGCAATTTATAGTTTTCTAATCTGTACAACAAATTTTAGATCAAAATCTAGTTACTGAGAGCACTAGATGACTGCTTGGACAGTAGATAGGCACACTGTAAGCCCTTAATAAATGTGAGAAAATATCACAATTTTTCAGGACAAAGCTGTCTGATTTCAAAGTCAGAAAAGCATTATGGTCATTAAGACTGAAAACACTGTCAAAATAATATCTGACATGATCATGAATATTCTGGTATATTTTTACTGTTACCTCTTAAACCCCATCCCTCTCTCTCAAACTTGTATAGAGAACAACTCACCAAATTCTAGTACATTGTGTTCAAACTTAATTTTCTTTCATACTTTTGTGAAAATATTAACAAAATCACTAAACTTTAGTGTTTTATCAAATTTCTGAGTATACCTTTCCAAAGTAACGAGGAAATTTGTGTTGATCTTCAATGACGTGGGCAAATCCCCCCTGAAGGCCAAATTCTACGGCAAAATAAGGCAAGCTTCTAGGCACCTAAGTAAACAAACAAGTTACATATGAAATAGGAAAGCTATGGTATCTCCAATTCTCTGCCATGAGAGAACTTGTAATCTATAAGGAGAATGTACATGACAAACTTCCAATGACCTAACTGTCCAAGGAAAAGATTTCATTCTAATAGTCTTTCAGTCAGACAGATCTTCATCAAGTCTAGCAATTCACAATAAAAACAACTTCTTTCCTGTTCATGAAGACAGTGGAAAAAAGGTATTCAATCTTTTTACAAAGAACAATTTTCCTATGATTACACAAACAAAAGTTTATTTTGTTCATATTATACTTAGGATGAGGGAGCTTGATCATATATTTGTGGCTGTGTTTACAAATGCATAAAAATCTTTACTATGACATTTATCAAATATAAATAAATTTATAATTTTTATTTCTTTCACTAATTAGTGAGATAAATACAACACTATTTAGTGTATCAAGTTAATTTCACAATACCTTGGGATCAGCTACGTTTTACCCTTTTCTCCCTCCCTTTACACACACACATACAGACACACAAACAAGGGGGGAGGTTAGAATTTTAATCTCCTTACTCATTGAAAAGAACTATAATTTCTTGCTTTTATGCAGCAGATTTTGTATCTTTGTAAGGTTTTCCTCTAAAGTTCCAACTTTTACCACTACATATCATCCAGGTTAGTCAATATACAGTAAGCTTCCCCTCTAAAACCACTATGCAAGCAACATGACTCATCTGGACCACATATTCCCACTTGGTATTGGGTACTTAAGAAGGTACAATTTCAGAGTTTACAGTAAATATAGTAGGAACAGAGAAGTCCTTTGTAGTCATTATAAGTCAAATAAAATTAGAGACAACAAAATGTTTCTCATAAAGCAGGAAAAAAATCAGTCTACAAAGTAATATAAACATTAAAATGTTGCTTTGTGTATTTATATGTTTTCTATAGTCCCGTATTTTTAATGATAATAGTCATTACTGACAATTAAGAAAAAATAAAGTAAAAACAGACCCACAGACAAAGCTTTAAGCACATCTCTGATTCTCATGAGTATGTCATGTCAGACAATTCTGCAACATTTGAATCTAAGGGGAAACACGAAGCATTCTGAGGTTTGTTAGGAATATCCAAGAGAAGGATGTTTATGTAACTCCCCAGCTCTAATTTTAGCATACAGGAGACTTACTTTCATTTCTATGCCCTACAAGAATGCTCTGTGAAAAGTTATTCAGTGACAATAGGAAAGAAGGCTCCATTGGAAACTGACCTAACTAGCTCATCGGGCATGCAGCATGCAATACTTTGAGAAATAACTTGAAGGAATATATAGTGCCAGCACTCTTTCATTTTCTTTGTATTACACTCTGGTAGGCAGAATAATGGGTCCTGAATATACTACTTTACATGGCAAAAGAGACATTAAATGGCATGAACAAGTTTAGAGTCTTGAAATAAAATGGTGATGCCACGATATTCACATGAGATAAATATAATCATGAGGATAATTACAAGAAATAAAAGGCCTGAGGTATAAAGACTGGTAGGTACCTAACTCTTCATTGAAGGCAGTAGAAGGCCACAAGCCATAGACATAGATAGCTTTTATCAACTATAAGATAAGAGTGTCTTCTCTTCTCTAGAACTGATGACAGATGCTTATAGTCAAAGCCACTCAGGAGGCTGAAGTAGGAGGGCTTCAAGTTCAAGGACTTGGGTATAAAGAGGTCAAAGCTGGCTTGAGAGACCATTCAGCAAGTACTTAATAAGAAAAAACAAAACTAAGGCAGGGGATATGGCTCAGTGGGAATGTTCTTGCCTTATAGGCACAAAGCCCCAAGTTCACTCCCAGTCCATTAAAAAAAAAATTTCTTCTCCACAGTCTTCAGGAGACACCAATAGAGTGTGTAGTCCATACTTCCAACAAAGGCACTTGTTGACAAAGGCACTGGCATCAGAGTTTGTACATTTGTAATCATTAGCACTCTCCATTTCCTGCCTTTTCCATTGTAAGGAAAACTGCTGAAACTCCAGTTCCGCTCTTTAACAGTTTACACAGAAATAGGGTCTGACCTTCAAGTTCCAGAAGGCAACCAAAGGCAATGGCAACAGCCCATATTGTTTTAGGAGGTTCTTGTATTCCTGCAACCATCAACATGTGGAGCGGTTTCCAAAGCCTAGCACTAGGATTTCTGTTAGAAAGAGCATGGCTTATAAAACAGTATGTTACCCTATGCCTTTTTCAAACAACCTTAATATTATATATCTCTCTTTTGTGGTGATATTTTGTTTACACTATAACAATGCTTGCCTGAAGATCAGAGTGCAGACTAAGCCACTAGTTAGTCATAGAGGCCAGGCAGTGGTGGTTTATACCTTTAATCATAGCACTTGGGAGGCAGAGGCAGATGGATCCCTGAGTTCAAAGCCACCCTGGGTTACACAAGATTGAGCCAGTCTAAAAAAAATAGAGCTAGGCAGAATTGGCTCACATCTTTAATCCCAGTATTTGAAGTCACATAACTTTAATCCCAGCACTAGGGAGGTGGAAAAAGGAAGGGATATGGCTGGGCAGAGAGAGGAATATACGGCAGGAGGAGACAAGAGCTCAGTTCATTCAGTCTGAGGTGTTGTAGAGACAGGACTGTCTCTGGTCTGAGCATTAGAAGAGGCAAGAACTCTCTAGAAGATGACCATTTTCCTTATCTCATCCTTCAGCTTTCACCCTCTGATGATTCTGAGTTTTTACTATTAAAAACAATTAGAATTCGTGCTACACTCCTTCCCTAGCCCCTTTATTATGCTTAGTTTCCTCCCTTATCCCCAGTTAATAGTCCTCCATTTTCACCATTATCACTTTCATAGTACCTGCCTCCTGCTATCCTCTTTTCTAAAGCTTCTTCTCACCTCATCCTCCCATGGTTCCTTCTACTTTACTGGCTACTTCAGATACTCCAGGTTATCTACTCAAATCTCAAGATTCAGATCTAGGACCCTCAAGTAAGAGACAACAAGCAGCATTTAGGACTTAGAGGAACTGAACTAGACCTGAACTGAAAGCCTCCTCTGGGGGGGACTAGTTCTCATAGTATGTAAGCTGCCAAAAGAGGATCAATCCATCCTCCTATCAAGCTGTAAAGTCTATGAATCCTAGCAATGATGAGACTAGCAAAATATCACCAATGTTCTAAGAATGGTTCTTCTATCTTTAGGGGAGTCAAAGCTGTCTAATTGGACTTAAGGCCAACTTAATAGTAGGAAATTCATGCCTGGTTCTATAAATGTAGCCTACTACTCATGGCTAGACTGCTAGAGAGGTCCTAGACCAGAAAGAGAACCTACTACTGCCATTTTCCTAACCCAGTGTAATGTCTGTGTTCAAATATTTATACTCACAGATGAAGTATAGCTGTCAGCTCTCATCAAAAAATTCTTTTTTTAGCAAACGTGAACTATTACAGAGAACCAGAATTGGTCAAAATGCAGAGAATAAGGAATAAGAGAATAAGTCTGTGTGTGGTTGCTTAATCCCAACTGATACATCTGCAATGCAAGCCCTACAGCTAAGGCTCAAGAGAGAGAAAGCAAAATAAATAAATAAATAAAATAAAAAAATAAATAAATTTAAGAGCTAGAGGTTCATGAGGCTTGTAAAAAAAATGCATGCAAGAAGTCTGAAGAATATGGTGACCTGAACAAGAGCAGCATAACAACAAGACTGACATAACAACATAGATGGGGCCACAACCAAGACAGAGTTACAAGTGATCAATGGCTGCTAAGAGCAAAAGTTTCCTCCAGGAACAAGCTCTAACAGAGCATGTCAAATCCCAAGTGATCAACCCTAGACATACTTACATAACAAAAATAGACTATGAATTGGACAGAGGAGAGGTATGTATGGAGGCTCAGAAGTGAGGAAGTTAAGAGTGTTGTTCAGATGAATAGCAAAACTGTGAAAACTGCCCAGTTTTTCAGTCCAAATTTTTCCCTCTGATTTCAATAGTAATGACTAATTTCCTCAAATTTCCCTTGAAAGCAGTTTTCTTAATTAAAAAGCAAGAATCCTCTAAATATTGACTGTTACATTTTCCATAAAATTCACCTTAATTTTTGTAAAATTAATCAAGAATTTCCATCTCTCTCAATACAACAGCTTTGCTTTTTCTTAAAAAAATAGTTGCCCATTTTCTTGATATATTTTTTTGTTAACATATGATCCCTTTGCTGTGAGCACTCAGATCTGTTTACATCATCTACTGTTCGAGCCATGGGCTTGGAATCACACTGCAAGAAATCTAAAGACCATAGAAATGGGACACTAACACTCAAATGACATTGAAAAAAATAAACTCAAAAGAATCAGAAGAAAGTACAAATACATGAACTCCATTGAAACCTAAGAATGCACTTGGAGAAAAAACAATAAGCCCCAACTGCAAAGAGGAAGACAAAAAACTTTTGAAATTATTAAGGCCACAAAACATTCACAAGAATGTTTATAAGTCTTTCTGATATAAAATTTTAAAGTGACTAAGCATTTATTCACTTAATATTCTGAAACACATTACTTTAAAAGGCACTGAATAGTGGGGTACCCTGAAAGTTGGCTTTTTTTGGAACTCTTCTGGAATTAAGATCTTCTCACAACTCCACCAAAATGGACATTAAGATGCACTAGGAAGTTATCTGTCTTCTTCCCTATCTACTATAACTTTTTAAAAGTTTCCAGTAAAAAAAAAAAAATTCTATGAATCCCTACTGCTTCAAGGGTTCCTGTCTTCAGACTACTGGTGCTGAAGACTGACTCCTGCTCTTATATGTAGTCACACCTGATTCTTGTTTTCCCTATCAGTTAAGTTAGTAAGAGCACCTGGATATGTACTTCACGTATTACATCTACGTTTTCAAAAAGCAAGCTTAAGTACTAGATGTTCCACAAGCTACACTTACAGTAGCAAATGTGGAAAAATACATTTCTTTTAAATTTTCTACTTCGAA